TCTCTCTCTCGCACACAAGCGCACATAGTTACCACACATACACGGCTGTCTCTATCTCACGCCTCTTACCGGTGCACCACCGCCATCGTCGCCTGCTCAACCACCGGTGCACCACCGTCATCGTCGCCGCCCAACCACCGGACGCAACAGACCCCGACGTTCACCCGTCGCATCTGTCGCCGTTGAATCCGTCGTCGCCGAAACTGCTCGCGACACTGACCTCCACGCCGGCGCCTTCACCCAAAATAGATCTCCCATGCCAGCTTTCGGCTTCTCTGTCGGCCGCCGGCCCGTTTCCGTTCAAGTGCCAAATACAAGCGACGCCGGTCTGTCCAATTTCCTTCGCTGAATTCGGCCGCGCCGCTCGTCACCAACGTCCGGCGACTGCTGCGAGAAACATACCAGCGAGTCACTTCCTTACTAATACCCTCTGTACAACTAGCCGGCATGCGTGAGGATCCATGGACGATAATTGTTGGGGCGTGCAGTTGGGAATTAGATAGTGTGTAGGGGTTCATGTGCAATTTTTATAACTTTGAATATCTATAATTTAACCCATGGGTTAAATCTGTAATTTATAGAAGTTTAAAAAATTTATCATTCTTTATGTATTTTTCTTATACATAAATATATATTATGTATTTATGACCAACATGATATAAAATATTATATAAAAATGCTAATATGTGAAATATTTTTCTAATATAAACAATAATGATTCATATTATTTTTTTAATATAAATAGTAACTAGTTCGAATATTTAGGTTAATTAAGTTAACTAAGTGAATACACTAATTATTTCGTTCTATTTAATTTAAACTAACTCTTAAAAAAGTTTCGCAATGCAAATTGCACAATAATGATAAATAAGATGCACATTAGTGATAACCGAACTGCACAATAGCGTTAAACCAAATGCACAGATTAATACATTCGAATATGGACGTTGGTTTAACACTGTATACTAGTGTGCATTTTAAAATATATTAAAATTTTGATTATTTTTTGATTGGTTTTTTTTTTTAAAAAAAGCATAATTGATTGAAGTATATAAAAAGAAATATTGTTTTATATTTTATCTATATATATTATCTATTACAACAATAATATAAAACGTTGAATGAAAAAAATAATTTTAATAAATATAGTTTCATTATATAAATAATGTGATAAATGAAAAATTATGTTAATTGAAATCAAATTATCAAAATTTCTAAAATTGTAATGCACAAAAAAATATACCTCGACCTATAGACTGCATAATAACATTAGATGAGAGGTACACTATTGCGTACAATAATGCACATCATTGATTTCGTTATTCTATTGTTATGACATTCTAGCCGAAAAATAACATAAAAAATATAATATTGGAATACTAAATATATTTCTATAGTATAAAAAATAAAGCGTTCTGATTATTTACGTTAATTAAAGATAACCCTTGAATAAACTGAATATTATATAATATTTCTTGTTTTGATGTGGGGAATATTATGGTTCATTTCTTGTTTTGATTTGGGACATATTATTGATCATGCATTGCGACTGCACAATAGTGTTAGATGAATTGCACAACATTATTAGATGCATTGCACATTAATGGCTATAAAATGCACAATAGCAGATCATCTAAATTTTTCGTTTTGAAATTTTATATTTCGGATCAATTATTAATTTTTTCATTTAAAATATTGGTTATTTTGTCTCAAAAAAAAAATATATGTATTGTTGTTATGCGATTTTGTAACAACAAAACTGTACACCCCTATTCCGTGAATAATCGGTGTAAGATAAACAAGAATTTGCAATGAATTTTGTGGTAGGGTTTTGTGTAATGTTTGGTGAATTAAATATGAATACCAAGAATTCAGCCATTGAAAAGAACCAGAAGCTGTATCATATCTTTCTTGTTATATTTGGAAATGGAAAGGAGAGATCCTCCTTGTTCTTTTTCTTAGGGCGGTGCCCCCCTTTTTATCAGATAAAGAAGGAAAAAATTAAAAGCCCCTCATCCTTATCCTTTAGCCCCTATTTATATTCGGGCTAATACCGGTTCGTATAACTAATGGGCTTTTACGATAAAACATGACCGCGCAGGGTCCAATAAGAAATATGACCGCGCATGGCCCAACAATAAATATGACTGCGCAGGACCCAATAACAAATATGACCACGCAGGGCCCAATAACAAATATGACCACGCAAGGTCCAATAATAAATTATAGCTTCGGCTGGTATTTTTCTTGTCAGTAATTGACGTGTCTGTATAAATGGCTTCTTTGTGATATCTGGGTCGAGTTGACGTCATTGAATTCTGATTGGCTTTGAATGTGGACCGTCTTCTGGAAACTCGGTCAATATAAATCAGATAGAGAAACTTGCTATGTTATATTTATTTAATATATATATCCACGTGTAATATCTTAACAGGCAAGGCCAAAATTAGGTAACAACAGTAGGCCCCCGACTTTAGAATACGTTCTGAATAGAACTGTTCTGAAGTCGCATGTACAGTCAATTTTGGCTGACTTATGCTTTATACTATGTCTGAATGCTGTGACGTATGAATGTCGTCCGGGTACTTTGGGACTCGTGGTCGCTTTATCGCTCGTGTTCAGGCTTTGTCCTGATGTGTTGACGTATTAATGCTAGTCGTGTTTTTGTTCTGAGAATGAAGTCGACTGTGTGGATAGTCAACTTTTTGAGATTGCTATATAAATGGAGGCCTGGAAGGCCTAGTCGGGTAATTTGGTACCCAGTTGTCATGTTTTACGTGTAATATGACGCGGTTTAATGGATTCGCGTCCGTAATGCTGATAATTATATGGCTTTGCGTGAGTACTCGGGCCCCATGATATTGTTATGGGATTCGCGATTTTGATGTCGTACTGAGACGACACAATTTTTTAGTTTGTGATTGATTTTCTGAATAGTCCAGGCCTGGTCGGATAATTCGGTATCCGGTCTTCGGTCTGGTAATAATTTTAAGGAATATGATCGTCCCAGCTGGTAAGTCATTATAGTATGCCTCAACAATGTGAGTCTTAAAGGAATATAAGAACGGGTATCAGCCTTACCAAGCCGAAGAACTTGGTGTAAGTAAAGGCTTTACCCTACCGAGCTGAAGAACTCGATGTGAAGATTTTTTTTTTT